AGTGGTCATATTTCACAGCTTGCCAGTCAGCCATTTGAAAGATAGTGATTGTATATTCTAGGTTAATATATTATTCACGAGGAGCTATAAGATGAGGTATTGGTTGAACTTGCAATGCTGGTAATTATGGTTGATGGCAGGTAAATGCATGGAGAGTCTAAGTGCAGTAGGCAATTGAAATACTTACTGTGATGACTACAGTCATCCTTACTGTAGCATTTCTTACATATGCCCATGATAAGGGATTCTGCAGTTCTTAAACTCTGCTGTACCATGCATCTATATTGGATTTCACACCTTTTTTTGTAGCTCCAAGTTTTCTGCTGTATCAATTATTTCTATTAGATATACTGCAACTATGTAGAAAACAACGATTCTTGAATGCAAAAGTCATGAATCACATACACACATATAATAATTGTTATTTCATGTCATTTGTTTTTTCTACTCTTCTCCTTTTTCTGCTATCTATTTTTTTGTTTCTCTATATGAAGAAATATAAACAGTGAAAGCAGCGACCTGCAATAAAAAATAATTTATAGCTTCTAAACACAGCTGTTACCCTGTGGGTCTGTAAGCCCCAATCTATATATTAACTTGTTTCAAGACCCATGGAACTGGGATTTTTAATAAATAACAACTAATGAATTTACTTAGCTAATGTTATTTATATGTCATTTGAATTGTCTTTTTCATAGTTTAATTATCACCCCCCTATCCACACATTTTTCTTTTATACCTATAAAAGCTGTCAAATCAAGATATTATCTGGCCCTGTCAAAACCCAAATACTGTATAACCACCCATAGACACTTCTTTTGCTCTGCAATAATCATCAGCAAAAACTTTTTTGTAAATAAGTTTCATAAGTGGCTCCTCAAATCTACCTTAGGAAAGTTAGCTTTTTCCCCAGTCATATCATCCACAAATGTTTAGATAACTTGGGAAAAAAATTGAGGTATAATTGTATTTGCAAATTCTATTTCTGAAAAAAAATATAGATATACCCAATATTTTGGAAATACTATATTTTTATCGATATACAGTTTTTTTGGTTTAATGAAGTTTAAAGAACAGGCGTATTTCGACATCCCAAAGGCCCGCCGCTTTGGGTTTCCGCCCTTTCCGTGCGCGGTTTTTACTGTCGGCATACAAACAATTATGTTAGAAACCTTAAAAATATAGATAAGGGTATCCTAGAAGAATTTTTGCAAATTTCTCCTTTTCTTGACTTATAAATAGTATAAATGAAAAGGTACTATATTTCAATAGTATTATTCTTAATATTTTTGACACTTTACCTCCACTAACTGAGACCAAATTTAAACATTTTAAGCCCCCATGGTTAACCACCAATGTTAAATTAATGATGTCTCTTTGTGACAAGGCGATTCGAAAATTTAAAGGGACGGGTTTACCAGAACATTGGGATTATTTTAAACAAATGAGGAATCTCACCACCAATGCTGTTAGGGCTGAACAAAAATCATATTTTAAGTATACGTTTAACAGCTGCTGATGGAATTCAAAGGCTATCTGGAAGAAATTGCAAAGCCTAGATATTGCTGGCAAGTCTAAAACGCCAAATATACCTGCAGAGTTTGATGATCCGAATGAGATAAATAAGCATTTTCTGATTCATCAAACAATGTTGATCCTGATCCTGAAAAAGTTCACTTTTACAATAGCAATTTCGGTAAGGATTTTGATCGGTTATTTTCATTTGAACCTGTTTCTGAAGCAATTGTTTATAAATATCTTTATGAAATAAAAACTCTTGCAACTGGGGCGGATGGTATTAATATAGGAGTGCTACTTTTATGCTGTTCCACACATTTTACCAGCCATAACGCATATTATTAATCGTTGCCTAATAGAAAATACTTTTCCAGACTGTTGGAAAGTTGCAAAAATTCATCCTCTGCCTAAGAAAGACACTATATCTAGCTTGTCGGATCTTCGTCCAATTTCTATATTACCGGTGCTGTCTAAAGTTCTGGAAAAAAATATAAAATTTCAGTTAATGCTTCATATAGATAATTATGATTTGCGGCCTTCATTTCAGACAGGGTTTTAGTTGCACGACAGCGCTTCTAGATGTTACGGACAAAATTATCAGGGCTATTGATAACGGCAATACAGCGGCTCTTGTATTGCTTGATTACACAAAGGCATTTGATACAATTAATCACCAGTTAATGTTTTCTATTTTAAAATACATGGGATGTTCCGTTAATGCTATTAATCTAATCAAAAGTTATTTCTCGAAGAGGACGCTGTTTGTCATAACCTCTTCCAGGGTGTCTGTTTCCAAGTCTGTTCTGTGTGGGGTACATCAAGGCTCTATCTTGGGTCCATTACTTTTTTCAGTATTATCTGCAAATATTACTAGTAGTTTGATATATTCAAAGCCTTATTTATATGCTGATGATACCCATATAAAATTTTCGTTCTCTCATACAGATACAACAACTGCGGTTACATTATTAAATGAAAATCTTAGTAATTGGACAAATGAAACCATAGCACACCAGTTATCTGTAAATCCAACCAAGTCAAATGTTTTATTGTTTGGGAAACACAAAAAGAGCTTGGCAGATTCATTCCATATTTCAATTAATAATAATGTTATTCCTCATACATCCGCTACTAGGAATTTAGGCTTGATTATGGATAGTGATCTGAGGTTTTCAAAGCATGTAGATAAGTGCATTGGCCGTGCTTATGGTCGGCTTGAAATGTTATTTCCACATCGTCATATCTTTTCTGCCGAACTTAAGGCTTTGCTTTGTGACACGTTTGTTCTGTCATTATTCAATTACTGCGACTCAGTTTATGGGCCTTGTATAACAAGGTATGATGTTGATTGTATAGATCGTGCCCAAAACTCTTGTCTTAGGTTTATTTTTCGAGTGAAAAAATTTGAATATATTATAAGTTACCTGTAATAGGATGGCTAAATATGGAAGCCAGGAGAAATCTCCACTATGCAGTTTTGTTTCATAAAATTATTCTATATAAAACTCCGCCTTATTTATATAATAAGATTAGATTTCGAAGTGATGTTCACAATATCAATGTTCGGTATCGGAAGCTGATTTCCGAACCACGTCATCGTACATCTATGTTTAACAGATGTTTTTCTCATTTTATCCACCACTTGTACAGGGTGGGGCATAACTGTCTCCCTATTTTCAAAGCTTAATAAAACAAATGTTATTTGGAATACTATGGATTTATTTTGAAATCTTAAAAGTGCAACTTAAACAGTTTTATTTTATGTGGTTTTGAAAATAATATCGGCAAGGTGCTTTCCACCATTATCACAGCATTGCCGCAAGCGCTTTCTGAAGTTTTGCATAACTCTAACTAACATTGCTTGCGGTATTCGGCCAATTTCCAGACGGATTGCCTCCTTCAGCTGTGGTAAGGTCCTTGGACGATGTTGAAAGACTTGAGCCTTAAGATAGCCCCACAGAAAGAAATCGCAAGGCGACAAATCCGGGGAGCGCGCAGGCCAAGGAATATCGCCTCTAAGGGAGATCAAGCGTCCGGGGAACAGTTCTCTCAAAATGCCTAATGATGCTCGGGATGTGTGGGCTGTCGCCCCATCCTGCTGAAACCAGGCATTCTGCACATTGGGACAAAAAAATTCTGAATCATCGCTACGTAGCGTTCCGAGTTGACGGTGACAGCCCGATTACCTTCTTCAAAAAAGTAAGGCCCAACTATCCCAGTTTCTGACATGGCGCACCAAACTGTGACTTTCTCACTATGCAGAGGCTTTTCGTGTATCTCTCTTGGGTTTTCGGCACACCAGAACCGAAAATTTTGTTTGTTCACGCAGCCAGACAAATAAAAATGTGCCTCGTCACTAAAAAAAAAACGCCTCCTGAGGTAACTTTGCAATAATGTCTTGACATGCAGCTAGTCGATTGTTCCAATCACGTGGTGATAATTCCTGTACAATAACCATCTTGTATGGATGAAAATGTAGGTCTTGATGAAGAATTCTTCGTAAAGAGCGATTAGAGAGGCGAAGGGCGTCTGCATGTCTGCGTGCAGAGCGGTTGGGCGAGTGTTCCACTGAGCGTCTGACTCTCTCTATGTTTTCGGGCGTCCGAGCTGTTCGTGGACGTCCACCTCCTCTCCTGATAACAGTTCCAGTTGCTCTGAAATTTTTCACCCACAAAACAATTGATTTTCGGTCTGGCACTGGTCGGTTACGAGGAATTTCAAATTGCATACGGAACGCTCGTTGTGCAGCGATAACGGATCCATTTTCGTGGATGTACGCTTCCACGGCGAAAGCGCGCTGTGCGTCGGTCCACATGCTGTTTCAAACTGAAACCTGTTCTAACCTGAAACTGTTCAACTTGCCGCTTGTACTGACGCTATCCCCACTTCCATTCGGTGCCGCCCGGTTTTGCCTTACTTTTTTGAAGAAGGTAATCGGGCTGTCACCGTCCACTCGGAAAGCTACGTAGCGATGATTCAGAATTTTTTTGTCCCATCTCTTGCAGAATTCAATGTGCAGAATGCCTGGTTTCAGCAGGATGGGGCGCCAGCCCACACATCCCGAGCATCATTAGGCATTTTGAGAGAACTGTTCCCCGGACGCTTGATCTCCCTTAGAGGCGATATTCCTTGGCCTGCGCGCTCCCCCGAACTTCAGAAAGCATTATATTTTTTATATAATTTCTTTATATACATTTATTTTTTTGACGTTTGTAATTATTATGTATTATTAGTATGAACTTATATAATTTGTTTAAGAACTCCTCTGTTGTAATTTTGTTTGTTGTGCTAGTACTTTGATCACCTCGTCTGTTTACTAGTCCCTTTTCCAGGGAATTCATGTTGTTTCTTCATTTTTAATTTTTTCTCTTTGTATTTTTTTTATCTGCAAATAAACGCTATTATTATTATTATTATTAAATGGTTATGATAATATTTTTTCCTAAAAGTATGCTGAATTCTATGAAGTATGTTTTTTTCAGAATTTTATATGGAGATTCTGGCCCATTTTTTGCTTTGGTTGGTGTTAGTTTGGCATCTGGGACAGGAATTCTTACTAAGGAAGAAGAACTAGAGGGTGTGTGCTGGGAAATTAGAGTAAGTTTAGCCTGAAGTATTATTTTCAGCTGTAGATGTGGCAGAACATAATAATATAAATGTAATAATGTATTTAATAATCTGGAGTTAGATAGAATTAGTTTTAGGGCATTCTATTGTTAATGAAGAAAATGAGGCAAACAGTGTTTGTAACTTCACTTATTATTTTTCCAGGAAGCAATCTCAAAGTTGAAATGGAACCATGCAGATGCTGAAATAGATGAGACACAATTCGAAAATGTTCCTGTCTCATTGGCTGACCTTTCGTTTGGCAAACCAATTGCAAAAGGTGCAAATGCTGTGGTATATGCAGCTAAATTCAAGGAAAAGCTAGATGATTCAGAAATTTCAGTTATTGAGGCAGAAGAGCCAGAGGTACCTGTTGTACAAAAAGTAGTAACTGCAGATACTGATGACATCAATGAATTCCCTCTAGCATTGAAAATGATGTTCAACTATGATATCCAGTCTAATGCTATGGCCATTTTGAATGCTATGTACAGAGAAACAGTTCCTGCAAGAGTGTATTACAGTAACATTGGTGTTACTGATTGGGAAATAGAGTAAGTCTCTTGTTTCTGATTTAATGAAAATATTTTAGAAAATGTATGAACACTTTTAGGGTAAGATATATCTCAATTTTTTGGTGTATTATATTTATCTGCTTCAACTAAAGTCATTTCACGCACCTATTAGACATTATATTTCACAATAGATTTCCCCATAAATTTGACTTTAAGACTCAGCACATCGAAAACAGGAGAAACTTGGCCGCTGCCGCTCTCGCGGCTATCGAACGGTTGTTAGCGCAAAGGGCAATTTATAGATCGCAACATTGTTAAATAGTCGGGGACTGGCAGACTAATAATTGTATGGGACTATTTGACTAACTTGATTATTTCAATTCCTTCATTATACACGTTTAAAATCAACTTTTACCTAAGAGGACCTAAACTGTTGTGAACCGATGACTGCATTGTATGGGGAGTGCAGAGCCAACCTACTTAACACCATTCTTTTTATTGTAGGTTATCTAGAAGACATAGACATCTTCCTCAACATCCAAACATTGTTGCTATATTTTCAGTGTTTACTGATTATATTCCTGAATTAGAAGATTGTAGATGCCTGTACCCTGCAGCATTGCCAAAAAGACTCCATCCAGAAGGAGAGGGAAGGAATATGTCTCTATTCCTTCTTATGAAAAGGTAAGATTGTTCATGATTCACAAATTACTACCTCGCCAGGCATTGGTAATTTCCAGGTCGTTTGTCGGAAAGGTCTGTCTCTACTAGGCTTTTTGAGACTGATATGACTGCACGAGATATTCAGACTCATGATACTGGTCGCAGTTTTCAAAATTGTATTTAGCCTCCAAAGTATTTTTTTGTTGTAGATATGACACTAGTCTCCAGGATTTTCTGTCATCTGTCCACCCATCAACTCGCACTTCAATTCTGCTGTTCACTCAGCTGCTTGAAGGCATAGCCCACCTAACTTCTCACGGCATAGCCCATCGCGATCTCAAATCTGATAATCTGTTGCTTGATATGGCAGAGTCAGAGGCGCCTGTCCTCGTCATCAGTGATTTTGGTTGCTGTCTGTCTGATAAGAACAACGGGCTTATGCTGCCTTACACCAGCTACGAGATCGATAAAGGTGAGTTTTTTTATGGAATTACACGAATTCTAAATCCAAATGTCAAGTTGCAATTGTTACATCAAAGTCATTGGTTAAACACGCTCATTGTAGGCAATAAATTTATATGTTATGTTGCAATTGCTACATCGAAGTCATTGGTTAAAAACGCTCATTGTAGGCAATACATACATATGTTGTGTTAGAAGTTGCGCCTATGTAACCGACAAATACATAGGATTTAACCATATCATTTTTTTTATTAGATCACGTATCGACTCTGGAACTGACGTGTTAAACTTTCCAGTTGAAATCGCGTTTGTCTAGGGCCTTAAGGAGGTTTGGCCACAATTTGTAGCAATCCCAGAAATGTATATGTTCTAAATATTTACTGACGTTTTCAAGAACTCAAAATGAAATCGACAAATTTGTTTATGAGGAAGTCCCTGTGACATTTCCTTGTTCTCTTATAAGCAATGTTTGATTTAATTCAGTTTTTAAAGAAACAAATTATTAAAAATATTTCAGAAACAGATTTGCCTGGAGCGACATTAAAACGTAAACAATTTTTAGAAAAGTCCACCGTTTACTTTTTTGAATATCTGATTACGAAAGCTGATATATCCGTGTTTTTCCTCGCATTGATGTTTTGACACCCTCGTGTAGGGTTTTGGGTAGGTTTTTCGCATTCCCAGAGGACTGACATTTTCGGAACGATGTACGAGAGTGTCGTCTTTGGTACATGAACAACTACAGGTAACCTCATGCTCATACACTAGGTGATCCTGAGCTTTGCTGGTTTTACACGGTGCCATCTGAAAATTGCAATGATGGCTTCGCGCAATCTCAGCATGCTACAGGACCTTCCAGACTAGTGTAGTAATACACTGTATAAGAATAAGTAAAAGGAAATGCATTAAACAGAAATCTAAACATATATATATATATATATATATATATATATATATATATATATATATGTGGTTTTCATTCGTTCAGACAATGGAGTCCTATACCCTGAATAATATTCAATTTTTGGAATCTAGGTGAGATTATAAATGCTATGGGTCACACGCATTTTTAGGGTCTCACGCACCCAACGCTTTGTGACAGTAAAAAAGTATCTCTCCTGAGGGAGAGAACACTGATGCCAGCGCCAGCGCTTCCTCTCCGGCAGGGGTATTATGTAAGAAACCTAAAAAACATAAAAAAACGACAAAATGTTATCTTGACTAAGTAGCTTTTATCTTCCACATTTGCTCGCTATGATCGCTGTACAACAGCTTGTGCTAAGTTAACAACTTGTAGAAAAAACCTGCGTTATGTCACAGAAAACCTACGAAATGTCTAAAAAAACCGACAAAATGTGACTTTTCAAGATACGTAATACCGGTGCCGGTCAATTTTCAATCGCCAGGACACGCGCTCTCAGAAGCAGTGAAGCTAGGGGCCCTTTGATATAATTTGCTACATGCCTCGCGTTGGCTTAATGCAATACAATGCCCAAAAAGCTAACTTTTTAAAATAGGAACCATATTTTTATAGTGTAATCGCGAAAAGGTTCGTTAACGAAATATTATCTTCTTTGGTTGTTGACAAAAAACTATCAATCATGTCCATCGGCCTGTCTGTGTGTCGGTTTGTCTGTCCGCTATCATTGGCTCGTCTATAACTTTATTACTATGCCAAGGACAAAAAGCTTTATGGTTTCTGAAAATCAGATCAGTGGCGGCGGATGTGTGGGCGAAAGAGGAAAAAAATAGAAATCCTCAGACTTCGTTTTTTGACGTTCAGAGGTTCCTGATCATTTAGGAGTTAACAATTGGAGCTTGCATAAGGTATGGTGGTGTCAATTCTTTGGCGTTAGTACATATTTCCCACATCTTAGATTTCTCCGTGCATTTGTCCGTAACACCGAAATTTTTCGACTCGTTGCAACCTATATCTTCTTACTCAGAATCCTGTCTGTTGTGTATGTCATGTTTATCGTGATCTCCACCGCTGGCACGGCGGGCTGGTGTAGTACAGCAACGTTCGACTAATTGTATGGGCCTGCTTAGCTGACTCGATCCATTCAACTTTTTTGTTGTACATGTTAGTGGCTAACTTGTGACAAACTTCGTTTATGAACTGATGTACGTGGGAAGTGCAGTCAAACCTACTTGACACAATTTTTTTCATACCTTAACCGTGTAAATAGAGCGTTGAAAAGGTAGATTTTGTATCTGGTGGTCTATTTCGTAAACTGGTAGTTTAGTAGTTCAAATAAAGTCGAAATCAGGAAAGATGACGATTACGTCATCATTTTAGTCTGTAGTAAAGACGGGTATTACGTATCTTAAGAAGTGACATTTTGTTTTTTTTGTTTTTTTTTTGACATTTTGTAGGATTACTACAAGATGTTAACTAGTAGAAGCTGTTGTACACTTGTGAACTCGTTTTGCTTAAACGTCAGCGAACAGCGATCATAGCAAGCAAATGTGAAATGAACTATTGGTACACTAAAAACAACCTAGTCTGCAAGCTCACATTTCGTCGTTTTTTTTTACGTTTGTTGTTTTTTTTTACATAATAGCCGTGCCGATTTCTCCATGGTGAACTGAGATTATCTTGTGGTAACAGCCACCTGGAACATTTGACGTATTATCTTAACGAACACTAATAAAAGGAGGTGGGTTTTATTAGAAAAAATTGACACTTCGATTATGTAAAATCCAATTGTTATTAAATTTCTTGACCACGCTGTACTAGTTGTTATTCAAACATGGAGTAAAATCAACTAAAGCAGGTCCCCTTGCTTACAGAAACGGTTACAAATCATATGGTAAAGACAAAAATACGAGTTACAATCGTTATGATTTATTTGCATGAATTTTTCATTTTTTATGTAAAGTTTAAATATCTCAAGAACAGTTAGATTCCGTTGTATGATAATATGCATGAAATGTATTTAGAAACTCATGTAGAATCTAAAAACTGGATAACATGCATGGTATTTTATTTAAAATAAGCAAGTTGGTATCTGTTTCCAGTACAACCGGAAGTGGACATTTTGAAAATCTTCTATCCGAATTGTTTCCATCATCAGTCATATTATAACCCAGAATTTTCATAATTGTATATCAACTTTTCCAGTAAGTAGTTCTTTGTGGGACACCTTGTATAATGTGATCAGTAAATGGAATGGTATCGCTAATTGTAGAATCGTTTAAAAAACCATGGGTCAGAAACATTAAAACGCTACTGCAAAATTGAAAAGTAAACTATCTAGTTTTTGAATCCCATGTTTAGAATGATAAATCAGCCATTGAAAGCCAGGATGGTCCAAGTCACAAAAAGACGTTTCCGAGATTTAAGGCTTTAAAGTTTAGATGCTGCTGATAAATGTAGAGTAATAAAACTGCAGTAAGAAATCAAAATACCCTTAAAGGTAGAATCAGTTTAAGTATCTTATCATGAAATACATGAACATTTTGTGTTCATGTGTTTTTTTTTCATATGTTTGAGCTTTAGCCCACTCTGCCTTAAAACGGTTCTTACCTTAGGTTTCATACTTGTATAACGACTATAGTAAAGTAGAGTATTAAAGTAGAGTTACACAACATTATATGAATTGATAATTTTATTACAAAACGACAGAAATCAATCTCCATACATTAAAAAAATAATGTATATTTTCTACACAAAAACTGTACTGTACTGACGCGACCTTATGGAATTTCTGGAAATTCTCGAGTCTGTTCGCCTTCTCCTTCTTCTTCTTCACTAACAAGCAGTGGTCCAGATGGCAAAGTTGCATCGGTCTTCAGATTCTGGAAAAACTGTGATGAACTGGTGGTATGAATTGGATAAGGTCTTCCATGTTTTTCTTCTTTTTGTCGTTGACAGGAAGAGGGGATTCATACAAAGGAGTTAGGTTTATATTTTTGAAGTTTTTGGGTGCGCCCTTTTCGATTTGGTAGTAAATTTATAAAATCATATGAAAATTCTTCAAAGTTTCTTTATAAAAAATTTTGTAAGGTTCTTTTTTCTCAAAGTGTAGCCACTGGATCTGGAGCCATGATACAGTGGCATTAGTACCATTTTTCTTTATTCTTGTTACATCTTTCTCTAATGTTGTTGATGAGAAAAAATCAGACCGTTCCATCTCATAGACGTAAAATGGTTTCCTGAGTCTGTATGTTCTTATTGTTATACCAGTCTTCTGGCACGTACGTGATGCTATTTTTTGCCCGCTGACACTACTATTGAAAACCAGAGTGGGTTAAGTCACACTTGTCCCATTCTGCCACATAACGGTTACAGCTTTCCATTGACATATAAAAACAGACTGGTGCCATATGTGTGCAAAACGAAAAGATACATTTTTCAAAACTCTCCCAGACAAAGATTCATCCATCCAGAACAGTATACACATAGAACCTCGATATCTGAAAATTTGGACTTGGACCATCCTGGCTTTCAACGGCTCAAATAATCTAAATTTTCATTCGGATAACCGCGGGATATCAAAGTAATGAATACGATTTCATTACAGTTAAGAGTGTTGTGTGCCCTATGATTTGCAAAAAATTGTTGCACATATCTGTTGCGAGCGTTAGGTGGATCTTGAAAATGTTTTTACATTTAGGAGGAAACGCAGCACTGATGGCGCCCGAGATAGTCAATCAACAACCAGGCACTTTCAGTGTTCTGAATTACTCGAAATCCGACTTGTGGGCTGCGGGCGCGATCGCATACGAGATATTCGGCTCTCCGAATCCATTCTATGCTAAAGAAGGTCGACAGATGCTGAAAAACACCGACTACAAAGAGAGCGATTTGCCGGAACTTCCAGAAGATGTACCATTTGTCATTAGGAAACTGGTGGAGGCATGTCTGAGGCGCAGACCAAATAAGGTAGTTGTTCAAATTGGCGGTGAAGATTAAACATTGCATCCTCTTGTATACGTCAAACATTTATCTTACAAAATATTTTATTATTTTTTACAGCGCATTGACCCTGAGATAGCTGCCAATGTATGCCAGTTGTTTTTATGGGCTCCAAGTTCATGGTTAAAACCTGGGTTGGTTAAGTTGCCTTCAAGCACAGAAGTAAGTGATAGACTTTCTAAAATGCTCAGGATAAAGTAACATCAGTGGTCTTTGAAATTCCAAAACTAAGTTTAGTCTTTTCTAAAATAATACAACAAAGTCCTAATTTTTATGGTCACTTCAGCACCTCAAGTTTTTTATTTCCAGTTTAGCAAAGATTTTCGAACAGATGAATTGAAATGCTTAATAGTAACTGCACTACCTTGTTTATTTACGTAAGAGGCAAACATGAATTCCTTTTTGCTTTTTTATCTAAGGCTAGATCATGTGGGTTCATGAAGGTTTTATTTTTACAGATACTCCAGTGGCTGTTGAGCTTAACCACCAAAGTGTTGTGTCAAGGTAAATTGACCCGGTCTTCAGGAGGCGCTTTCAAATCAGAAAGAGATAGTTTTAAATACGGCAGAAGGACCTATCCTGAGTACTTACTCATATCTTGCTTCCTCTACAGAGCAAAATTGGCCAATGTCAGGGCTGCTTTATCTTGGATCCATGCTGTTAATCTAGATTTAGAAGCTGATTAATAGCTTGTAAATATATTTGTGTTTTTTTTTCGTTCGAGTATTTTTCTGCCATACAATCAGGTTATTTAAGTAATGAGCGCATTAAGTTTCGAGGATGCAGTTTATTTGGAATTTTCTGTTTTGTCCAATTTCAGCATAAGATATTTTTGTTGTCAATATTGATTTCACCTGAATAAGTTATATCTAAAATCAGGCTGTATATTTTCACTTACCCTTGTTTTTGAATTTCAAGTATTTTTTTATCGAATTTAATTTCTCATATTAAAATTCATCCACAATGAAATATAATATTTATTTTCACATATTTATTGGTTATTATTAAGAAATACGATTTTATCTGTAACAAAAAAGACTGGTCCAGTGATGTGATAATGTGAAACCAAATTTTGCATTAGATTGAACCCCCTTTTGTGGCAGATAAACTATTATTGTAAAGGAATATGTTAAGAATGAAAGTTTTAATAAAGTTATTCATTGCTAAGTCGTACACATGTGTTTAATTTTTTATAAAAATGGGCCTATCACTTGGTCTCAAACTTTATTAACATAAATAAGGTTATGACAGTGATACAATGTGTTTTGAAATCTGGACGGCACAAGTGTTGAAGAACTACCTAACTAAAGTTTAGATATACTCGCATAATTGAAAAAAGTTTGTTTTTGTTATAATCCTGGTATATATGTCGTCGTCAAACGCCGAAATCCGTCATTCCCTGAAATGCCTAGTCTGTCCCCGTATTGCCGACAAACATCGTAAGTTTGATTATCACAACGTTTGACTAAGCATTTCAGTCATTCCCTGTAACGACTGAACAATTTAAGTCAAACACAGTAACAACCACTTTTTTTTATATATTCCAACTACCACGAAGGCCTAGGGCCTAAGCACCCATTGGGTACCGTGGGGCTATAGGGGGATACATGGGAAAGGGGGGGACGCCACACGGACTCTGGCGAGGGAACACGTGTGCATGCAACATGCACACATTCTGGCTCCGCCTACGAGAACCGCCGGGTGGTACCTCCGCGTTCGACAGTCAGAGACCATCTACCACCTACGGACAATCACAACATCCATAGCCAAGAGAAAAATTTCTCCTGGGACGGGACTCGAACACGCACAGCGCACGGCGACTGATCAGGAGACCGAAGAGTCTACTACTGCGGCCACCGCTGCTGCCTAAAATGCTGCTGCATAAACTTCGTTACTGCATTCGCCTATTTTGATCAAATGCTGTAATCAATAGTGTTGATCCAATGAAGTACATAATAGGTATAACAAGGTACTACTTTATCAATAATATTAAAAGAAAAATAATCAAGCATGAATTAATCTAAAAGGAAAGAAGAATAAATTAAAACGTCTTTATTATTACATTATTGTTTTTCAATCAAGTATTTACGATATATACGAAATCCAGCAACTGGATGCTGCTGTTGAGCAAGCCTATGTACGTTATAATTTAGGTTAGGTTCACAAAATTATAAAAATTTAAATCACAATACCAAATCGTCAACAACAACGCCAAAATGCGTTATAACCTTTAAATTATCTGTCAAAAAAGCAAATTGCTCCGGACGAGTCTGTAGAACAAAATGGGAATATGTCCTGTCCTTGTCACACTGTAATCGCCGAACAAATGTAGAGTCACATTCTAAGAAGGGGGCGGAGAAAATATTACTACGTCACGCAAGATATTATTACGTCACACAGTTGGCGGCAAATTTTATTTTTAAACTTTGAAGCCGAGTTTTTGTTACTTCTTGTTCAAAGAAAAATGTAAAATTACTCAATATATAATTTTTAGATGTAAAACTTCAATTTGGAACCAAAAAATTTTTTTTGGAAAATACCCTATTGTAGGGACGACTGACGATACGGGCCTTAGTCAATAAAATACTGTTTGTCTCTGTCTGACATATCTGAAACTTCATTAAAAATATCCACAAATCGCTGTAGTTTGTCTTTACTAGCGACTAAAATGATGACGTAATAGTCATCTTTCGTGGTTTCTCCTTCAAATATTTTTTTGCCACAAAATTCAACACGCATTTTCTTTGATGGTATTGCTGTGAGGGAAACGTTTGAATTGTGGGTTGTGCACAATTTTTTACATTATTAGGATTTTGTTCCCTGAAAAAAAAATCACCCCCTACTCTTCAAAAACTTTTGGGGGTAGGTACACTTTTACAAAAAGTTGTCTCTCACCGATGATCGGCCACCCTTGAAAAATTCTTGAGAGCGTCCATGTTTCTCCCCCGGGTTTCGATTTATTGTACTCATTCCAGCCAGATTCTGATGGTGTTTGGTCACATTTGGAGACATCATTTCAAAAAGAATAAATAGTCTATATAAACGTCCGTCCGCAATTTTTTTCCACAGGGTGTTGAGGTAGGGTACTACTAATCATTTTTATTGACCCGAACATCCGAGCCCTGTCTCAATGAAGTTGGCCGTACTATCAAAACTACTTTTTTATGAAATTTGTCATATTAGCGGAAACTAAAAACTAAAATGTATTTCTGATAACATACGATATTTTTATTTAATATTAGCCAAAAATACATTTTTTATAACAAAGAAAAAATATGTTACAAATTCAAAAAAACTGCCGATTAATAAAAACCAATGAAACCAAATAGCAGCAAATCACCACTGCATTACATCGCCTTTTCAACTGACTACTGCTTCAATACGTTTTGACATAGTGCCACAAGGTTTCAATCGGCGATAGAACTACTAGACGTCCATTTTAAAACTGAAATATTGTTTTCTAATATCCAATATTTTACTTTTTTAGCCGTATGGAAATCGGCACCATCTTGTTGGAAGATATATTCAATATTGTTTAAACGAATTTGTTCAATTTGGAGTATTTAGTTATTTGAAGCACATTACTGAACTTATCAGTATTCATAATGTAAGTTTCCCACTCTACTTGCTGACATGGATCCCCAAATCATCACAGAAGTCGGAAACTTAACTTTTTTTTCTGAGACAGTCATTCTGAAACGTTTCTTCTTTAGTTATTATGGCCCCACTCCTACTATCACTCTTAAATTGGTATTGGAATAACGCAGGCGACTTCCAGTTCTGGGCTTTTGAGTCACAAGTCACGTTATTTATACAATTCAATAATATTTCGAACTGTATACCTCGATTTGCTAACACTGTCAGCGATTTGGGAAGCATTTTGGCCTTTTAAACGCAAGTGAATGATCACTTTTTTTATTTCCTCAAAAACAGCTTTACTACGAGCCATTTTTAATTATTAACAACAACACAAACGCATTGAAAGTTGATTTAAACGTCAAAAATCAGCTTCTTGGCAACGTAAAATGTTATCATTCGTCTTACAAAGCATTCCTTTATTTTATCGAAGTGAATAAACAGACCATTCAACTTAAGATGTCTCAATCATGTATTTTGCATTTGTATTTTACACAAATCATTTTGCAGAGAAGACAATTTCGAAATAAAAATGCTTTAAAAATAGCCGACTTGTTATCTTTCCATAAAAATGTAAAGAAACCAAAATATATTTGAAATAAAAATTTAATTAGCCCTCAAATAAATTCGCAAACATCATGTTTTGGGGCGTTGGGCCAACTTCACTGAGACAGGGCTCGTCCATGACTGGACAATAAATATGGGTGATTATGTTAAGAAATATTAAATCGGTAATCTTTGGGGCCATAATTGACAAAAAACACATTTTCTTTGATATGACCACTGTTTTGGGGCACCTTACCCCGGTTGCTCAAGGGCCTTTGAAAAAATTAAACTATTGCAGATGTATTTGTTGATACGAATAATACGTGGTTTATTTATGAAGTGATCTTAAGAACCAAGCTCAAACATGAACAAGCATATGGGTTCAGATAACCGGATCCCTTGGCTAAAAGCAGTAAATTTTGTTCATCTGATCTACAATAAATTGATTGATCATCCTGTACGATTTGTATTTAGACAAGGCTGGACAAAGACTGACAGCAAAAAAATAGTGTCACAAATATTCTGTATACTTTTTATACATAGTACCAAAGATGTGCAGTAAGTTGCAAAATCCAGATTTCTTAAGGTTGTTTTGCGAGAAAAATTCTGATGGGACTCTAAATTTGCGATTAAAAGGGAGAGAGCTTTACCAGAGAATAGGGTGAGTATAACGATTTGCTTTATTTCAAAAGTTGATTTAAAACCGAACCGTGCGCAGTTTTAGAATAGTTGTATGCAGTGAATTTAAATTCTTAAAATTATCTTCTCTAAGAGTGAATTTGATCCTAGACTTTCTTTTCTACTGTCAAATTAGGTTCTTTATTAGTAGGAATTTTGTTGTCGAATAACTTTGTGAACATCTTGAAGTATGAAATAGCATGAATGCTTATCTGTAATTGCAAAATTCTGTCTGTTTACCGAGAGACTGCCGACTGTATTTATATGTAGCTAGCGCACAAGGAAGGTCTTTGTGATACCGCGACCGTCCGTCGGCGTTCTTGGCAATCCGTCTTAAAATATCCCTCATTTCTTTTGTAATGATGAATCCAAATAGGCGTTATTACTCGCTGGAGTGCGATAACATCGCCATCTAGCGGATGTCGGATATTTGTGCTTGATATCTGCAATACTATTCGTCATTTGTTTATCCGGGCGGACCGTAGGACCTTTGCCCATTAATCACTGTCTAATGTACGTTAGGCGAATCTGTCAGTCCTGGTTGTCAGGAAACCAATGTCAAGGAAAAAGAGAAAGGGAAAGAGAAGAAAAAAGGAGAAGAGCAAAGAAAAACAAGTGTTTAGTTTAAGAGGAGACACCTAGGCTTTTTGACTTGGTACACGGATACATTTTGAGGTGAACTAAACAATATTTGATTCGGTTTTGTTAGAGTGTTATTTTCAATTCACTAAAAGTTCGCGCTAATTTTTGATTACAGTGCGAGCCGGATACATTTTGAGGTGAACTAAACAATATTTGATTCGGCTTTGTTAGAGTGTAATTTTCAATTCACTAAAAGTTCGCGCTAATTTTTGATTACAGTGCGAGCCGTTGCCTTGAATGTTTACGAACTTGCTCTACTGTGCAGTCCACTGAGCCGTGCAACAGAGGGTTGCTGTGCAATTCCGCTTGACTAATAACGTCGCTGCGCCTGAAGCTTGACATAATCCCTCAAGTAAGGAATGTCAAGGTCTCTGTGTAGTGTCTCGTTTGAGACATACCATGGAGCGTTGAAAATTGTTGACGGTAATAAAATTGGTTTATTTTAAAATGGTACTCGTGACCATAGATCATGATCATAAAGTTATTATCCCCAAGTGAAATAATGTTACATGCTGACAAATTGTAAAAAAATCAAAAACATTTTTCTGAAGCAAATGTTATTAATAAAAAGTAGTAAGAGCTCCAATAGTTTGGGTTACCAGTTTAGCCGTTATAACCGAAAATATAGTTACTTGTAACTTTGACGTTCAATTTCTCGTAAACTATTACAAAAATCTCCTTTGGTACTGACTTCAAGATAATTGACTAAACCTAGATATAAAAATGGCGGTTAAAGCTCAGAGTCATAATGACATCAATTTGGATTTATCATAACAAGACCATATTAATGAAAAATGTTACGCCGCACAAAAAATACCTTTTCTGCAGCAGTAAAAAAAATGAAAGGTTAGAAGGATGTCGCGAGATATCGACGAACCGCCAGTCGTGGTATCGAAGGGATTTTTCTATTGCACTAAAAAAGTGGTGGTGGTTCTCTTCCCTGGGCAATGACCCAAATTTGTACAGTTGTTGATACTTATTTATCAAACAAGTTTGCAAATGCTTCCATTTTCAGCAAAATAATGTGTTCTTCGTATCATTGGACATTGAGTCATAAATCTGACTTCCGAGTTGAAACTGATGGGCCGACGACAAAACTTTTTCTTCTGAGAATGACTCGGAGACCGACTATTCGTTCAGTTTCCAAAAATCACGCTCACTTTTTGTTAGTGATTCTTACCTTTGTTTATTGAACTTTTATTACGTATCTATCAACAGATGTCGAATAAACGAAGACAACGTGTTAGCTGTTATAGACTTCTTGAAAAGCGAGCCACGGATAGTAAGCTTAGATTTGTGTTACAATGATCTTGGAGACGATGGTGCTAGACTGCTGGCAGATCACTACTTTAATTCTGAGAATAATCTGAAATCCTTGAACTTGATGCATTGTGATATCACACACAATGGTTTGAAGTACCTGTCGGATAGCAAGCACTTGTATTTGTTAGTTTGTAGGTTGAATGGGAACAAGCTCGGAGTAGAGGTAGATTAACTGTTTTTAATGGTATAGAGTGAGTCTCTAATAAGCATTTCTTGTTGCAAATAACCGAATGATAACAAAAAACATCTTAATGAATAATAATGTAATTTGAAATTATATCCTGTTGACTTCATCATGTTAGTTTGACAGCTTAACTTGATATTCCGGCATATTTGGAAACAAGTGAAAAATAACTAATTGGATTCTAAACGTTATGAAGCTTCAGTTATCAATGTTTGGCTCTGATGTGATGTAAAATCTGCTTCAGAGATGACATTACTGGAGGTCTAAGCTGTAAGTTGTATGTGTTGATAATAATTCTATTGGATTCTTGTGTCAAATACACTTAATTGAGATTCAAAGCTAGAAATTATTTGCGCATCTACTTTTTCTTATCCATTCTGGAAATTACATATGCAAATTTGCTGAATTTGAAAAATGAGAGAGATAAAAAATAATTATATTCACTGTAGACTGGCGAATTACATGCTAACAGTAACTACACACAACGCTGGCGCGGTGATGATTTCCCGTAATTCTGCTCAAAGTTTTTCGTAACTTTGAACATAACCTGCCTGCAGAAAGAACAACATATAAATAACCCGTCGGGCACAGCTAATAGATATACTTCATCGGCAGCATATTGAGTAATGATTATCTCGATTTTGTACACATGCAGACCAATACACACAATCATCCAGATGCGATCTTGCTATTCAACCAATTTTCTTCTCAGAGCTAAAAACTACAGACACAGACCACTCGGCCTCACAGAACATACCTATGCAACCAACAATGCGTGTAGTTTAGTTGAGTGATTCCTCCATAGATGGAGATTTACAACGATCCTAGTGAGCAAACGTGGAATGACTGTTTGCGCCCTAAAAACTACCTAGTCAGCAATATGACATCTTATAGGTTTTTTACATAGTACCCGTGCCGAATAATGGTAGCAGAAAAGAAACACCATTACATGTAATCATTTATTAACGTTTTGTATCTGAACATAGCCAACCTAATGCTATATTTCCGCGTTCAAAACATTATCTGAGAGGAAATGGGATACAGTACCGTCATCTATGGGGATTTGTCGCAGCTGTTTCTCTATTTACTGTATATACTTTGAAAATGTTAAGAGTCTCAAATAGGGCGCTGTGTATTATGACCATATACCAACTATAGGTGGTTACAGCGACATCTATGAGACACTAACATGTTCAACGCATATGTACCTAATAGTGAATAGAGAAACAACCGTGACAAATTCTGGAAAAAAATCCTGCAGACGTCCACGGTAACCGGTAGGATAGTTATTAATAAGTAGTGATACCAAGACTAAAGGGACCGACAAATACTGCAGTTTTAATTATTATTTAAACTTGTCAGATTTGTCAACTGTCTTGATTGCTAGTTCAATGGAACTACAAAAATGGCGTCAAGTAGGCTGACTTTGTACGTCTCACGCAGTTGTCATCAGAGATTATATTCGGTTTATTTCCAAATCTATCTAAACTTTGATTAAAAAACCGCTCAAAAAGTAATTAGTTACATGTCGAATATATAGTCGAGCTACTTAGGGCATATTTTTAGACTGAATAATATTCGCATGATTACATTAACGTGGGCTAACCTGACGAAGCAGTAGCTGTCAAAGCCGAATTGGAACAAAATGGCCTCTTGTAGGAAAAGGTTACATGTGCACGCGTTTAGAAAATATTACAAAAAATGATGGGTCAGGATTATTCAAAAGACTATAATGAAAGCAAAACCTGACTAGTAATGTTCACTTAACTATGGTATATCGTAAAACATGTTTTTCTTAGAAATAGAATTGTGTTTCAGTGACACCGTAGATACAACAATAACAATCTTTTGTTCTGGACGTCTAAGGAAAGGTAGTTCGGGCTGATACTAAACTAAGACGCAAAAGCAACGTTTTTACCTATGATTCAATAAAGAAGATTCAGTCTCAAACATTCATTTTCGCCAATTCCTGGTCCGCAGACCGGTTTCAGCCGAGCACTTGGACTCCGAGGAGATATGCTTCATCGCGCGATCAGACCTCGCACCGATTACACTTAGTTTTTAGCTGTTCCTGTGGGCCACATGGACAGGCGCCAGACGCGTAGCCTAGCGTTTTGGTTTGACAAAATATATATGATGTTACATCTAACAGATGCGTAGAATTACCAGGATCAAAAGCTTCTTGTAATAGGGCGTACTCCACTGATACCAATATTACGACCCCCCCACCTCTCACAACCCGCAACCTTCACTTTTTAATTCATACAAAAATGTTTTTGAAAAGTCTCTGAAACAAGAGAACTTTATTTAATCACCTTTTGCCTCTAGCTCCACCGTGGTTGGCCCTATTTTCGAAAAGCTTTTTGGTCCTTGGCCCAGCAGTAACCGGGTGTGAAAATTTCATCAAAATCCGAGCAACTCTTTCCAAGTTATAGAAGGGCTATAGCCAGAGAGACAGTCCGGCGAGAATGGTTTTTACTAACATGTTGCATAACATCCAAAAAATATATCTCATTTTCGAAATTTTTCGCGATTACAGTATACTTCCTCGCCAGTGCCGTGGGAGAAATAAAAAATGGTGAAAGCGCGGGCGGATTGATGTTCGATTTGTAAAAGTGGTGGAAGTACAGACACTGCCTAGTTATGGTAGCTCTTCGGATTATCCCCGGATTATCTTGATTTACAACCAGCGCGCTGAAAGTGGCACTTTTCGATACGCATTTCAGTTTGGAAAAGTAAAAAGGTCACCAGGTACTAAATCTAGACATTGAAAGCACTACCCAGGATTTTGTCCTCTGCCATAAATCATCAAAATGCCAGCAACTGCTCTATTATTATTAACATTAATAATAATAAAATTTGATTATGTTTTTTGTTATTAAAGTATATGATTTCAATTGTTTCAATATATTGTTGTTTTTTTGTTAGGGGCTGGTAGAAAAACGTTCCTAACTCTTGCGGAAAGTATTCCAGTATTATCTAGATTGTAGAAGTACTGGAGAAGGGCAGCTATATAACGAACTTTAGCGTATACCTATTTCTCATTAGTATTTAGATATTTCAGAATATCAAGTTTAGTAATCAAACTGACATAATGACATATTCACCTAGCTATTTCTTATCGTCTTTATTTACCTAGGGAGAGAAGAGATACTTCTCAATAGGACCTCGTAGCGCAATAATTTTTTCCTCATATTTGACGAAAGCATTATATTTATGGCAGAAGTAGAGAGGCCACAGCTTTGGTGCGAGCTTTTACATTTAAACTTTGGAGGGCAAGTTTTGCCGCTATTCGTTCGCAGAAAAAAGTGAAAACACTTAGTATTCAAGATGTCCGTATTTGAATGGGCATAGTGAAATGGCCCGAGATCTTTTCATATCTGAAAATGAAAAAGGTCTAAGTTCGTAATTTGCAGGGCTATACATCGAGATGTATCTAAATCGAGGATCGGACTCGAATTTTTCACTTTTTTCGACAGCTTTTAAGCCGACTATTGAAATATTTGACTTTGTACAAAAAGGTGAACGAATAGTGCTAGTCAACTATCAAAGTAGATTGATTGCGCCTCTTTTAGATTTTTTAGTTGAACATTTTTATTTATTTCAATATCTCATTTTTAGCAGTTTATGTAACATAAAACTCAAAATTGTAAGGAATATAGTATCAACTTGATTTCATCAATATTTCACTACGAATGTTTTGGGACCTCAAAATTACAGGGTTGGATTCAGGTTTTTTTCTGGTATTATTAAGTACAACGCTCTGTAAGTTACGCTCCGAACTTATTAGGTACTATTTCTCAGAAAAATAGCAATAAATGATATACATAAAGGGAAACATTAATGTGATGCACCTTATTTTCTTTTTTGGTGCTGTTTTACTGATTTAATTTTGCCAACTTATGTTTTACAACAACATGAGTTCTGCTGAAAAGGGAAACGACATTAAATTTGCGGTTACACTAAATTTAACCTTGATCTTAACTCGATGGATTTTAAGGATGATGGTAAGTGGTTGAACAATCTTATCGGCATGATCGAAGCAGCCTTGGACATCGAAGCAAGCTTATGAGTGGATATATGACAATATTGAAATTCGGAGATTATAGCCTGATGTGCTAATGATATCATTCGTAGTATGATACTGACTATAATTATCCCTGACATAGATTAAACACTTATACAAATATACATTATGCCCCACTGCCGGAGCTTCCATATGACAAATGAATGAACTGATATTTTTTGGCGAGGTGTCCAATTTAGCTCACAAACGAGAGCTTGGGGTCCACGTATACATCAAGAAATTTGGCACAATCGTTCTGCTTCAAGTTATATCCCATACCATTAACCCTTACGCTGAAATTTAATTTACTGCGCCTAAACGGGACCAGGTGTGTCTTTGGTGCACTCAAAAGGAGACCATTAGACTTAGGTTGTGTCATCCGCAGAAAGCGTTTTGAATATATTAGGACATGTAAGATCTATATCATTTATAAACAGAAGAAAAAGCAATGGTCTCAAGGTACTCCTTTGTGGTACACCTGTAGTTACGGATTTTGCGTCCGACTTAACATAGTTGTGATTTTTATTAACCTTTACTGCTTGAGTCCTGTCTAATAAGTAAGTTCTAATCCAGTTATAAGTACAGCCACGCACTCCAAATTTTCCTAATTTATTTAATAATAAGGTATAGTTGATGTTATCAAACGCGCGGCTGAGATCAAATAGTAAACACGCTGTTGTATCTTTGTTTTCGAGATTTTGTGAAAGCACATAACGAGAATGGCATCCGGAGTACATCGTGTAACACTAAACTGCACTGAATTTAAAATGCTGTATCTAGTAACAAATTAGCTCATATGTTAGGTTATGATAGGTTTCTCTATATTTTCATGATAATCTTGAATTGGTCAAGTCAAATTCAGAGCATTTGCATACTAATTGTTGTTTCCCTAAGGCATACAAATAATTTTCGCTGTCATTTATACCATGCTTTACTCTTTTTTCTGCGAAATAATAGTAAATTCAGAGAAGAACAATAAGGCACTGCACTTAATAAATAAGTGTCAGAAAAACTGCCTAAAATAAGATTTTTAAGTAAATAACATTTTTCATCTAAGAAACTAATAGAGGTACAATTGATCTATTCTGATAATTAATTAATATTATTCACTGGATTTTGATAAATAGAAAGTGAAAACAATCGAGCCCGGCCCTGGATCTTTAAACGTCCGTCTAGCTTTACGTTACTCTGAGCCAACTTCGCTACTGTGTAGAATTTCAACAAAATTGGTTTAGTAGTGTCTGAGATATGTGATATAATTTGGCGGATTAAGACTACCTCCGTAAAAATTAAATCTAGAACTTTTTTATTTTCAGACATGGAAAGCTCTGGGTCCACTTCACTATGTCCATTTAACTATGCAACACCTTTTCCATGATTTTTTTATTGAATTGTAATATTTGTCAGGGTGCACGTTTTATCGCTAACCTTATCGATAACTGCCAAAACTTGGAGGTGCTGGACATAGCTGAAACAGACCAGACACTGGAGAGCATAGAATCTATTGTGATATTGATGGAAACGGAAAAATTGAAAGTTATAGACATCTCAAGGGTCATACCGAGTTCTTTCTTGACCAAGTATAATGATGTTACGTTGGCAGATGACCTGTCTGTGATGCTCAGGGTAATATTAACTTATTTTGAGATAAATTCGTTGCACACTAAAATAAAATGAATTTAAAATTTTATAAAGACTTAGAAATCTAACAAACACTGCTGAGCAATATTTGCGTTGCTTTTTTAACTCGCGGTCAATGATTCATTGTTCTTCTGATGTTCGGTTGTTGGAGATATAAAATTATAATCAAACTCTGCAAGCAAAATTGTTTTCTTGGGATGCGTGACCGAGAAGTGGGACCAGAAATGGCCGTAATTACCAGTGCGTACCACAAAAAGCGAATATGTTCATAACAAAACAACATTCTCTGGCTACGATTAAAGTCTATTTGATTTTATTTTAAGAATTTTTCGACATGTAATGAAGTCGTTTTTATTTTTGCCCCGACAACGAAGTAAGTTACAAACAGATGCCAAACGAAAAAAGTTGAATCATAAGCTGTTTGATCCGGAAAGAACATGGTTTTTGAAGTCAGTGGCGTACAGTTTTTTACCAATATTATTGGTGAAACTACCCCCGAGAAACCAGTGGAATCCATCATGTTCTTCTAGTTAGTGCTAACTTAGCGACTTATTGCAGTGAACAAGGCAAAATTCATCTGAATCGGCACATGAATCTTTGGAATGTCAATAAAAAAACATATTTTTTTCTTTGGCACCCTGTACCTGAAAACCAGACTTTTTAGGATGCATGTTTATATGATGCAGTGCCAGCGGGGACTTTGGTGTTCCACTACAGACTAGTTAGAACATTTACTTTTTCATCCATCTTCATAGTTCAATGTCACAGAAATGTTGCTTTTACGCGACATTTTTTTCGTATTTGTTTTGACCAACTATTTTTTCAAAGCAAACACCAAATGAATGTGGCCACGGGAGAAAGAAATAACTCCAAAATCCATTAAAAAGTGATCCATTGCGTTTTTATTGTTGTTCACCTTTTACTTCTTGTACGTTATTTGTAACCTATGTATGAATTTGTACTTATGTTCATAAATTTCATCGTTTGCTTGATTCATTTAATATGAAATTAATGTTTGTTATCAACATTTGACCCTACCGCATGAAACTATAGAGAATTTCCAAAACATCCAAACTCTTTCACTCAGGATTTTGTTTCAGCGAAAAACTTTTCCGTAGATACTTGAACAAAAGTTTCGATAACAGTATTTACTGGTACAGTATCCAGAGCCTCTTATTCTACAAAACTCGTCAACGTTGCCCCCTCTAGCTAGAGTGCAAAGATACGGTTATCCTTTCATAGATTGTCAAATATTTTCAAATACACCGAGGAACTGATACATCCAGTTTTCGTGGACCAAGGAGTCTAAATTTAATTTTCAATAAACGTTATTCAGTCAGCATTTTGCTCATCCTTTAAATACAGAAATGAGCGGTTTTCAGAAAATCGCCTTAGAAAGAGTCATCACCATAAATTTTTGTCCCATATTTTAGAGATACCCTGTATATCTGACATCATTCTTCCACTTAAGCCAGTAAACGTATATTGGTATGTAGAATCTCAACGAATTTTACAATTTTACGATTTAGATCAACACTTATCTGAAGGAGCTCCACATACAAAAATGTGAGTTTGACGGGCATGATGTGGAGTTGTTAGTAGAAGGCCTTATGTGCAATAAAACCTTGGAAATGTTAAACTTGGGCTGTAACCGAATGGGAGACATGGGTGCAGAGCTGTTGGGTTGCTGGCTCAAAACTAGACCGCCTCTGAGAGGGCTGAATGTTTCAGCTAACAATATAAAAAATATTGGTGCCAGGTAATTGGTGATTAAGTGCCGTATCGTCAGTCGTTCCTACAATTGTAGGACGCCTTTATTGCCTCCTTGATTTTCATAGTTTTCTACTGTTCTGTGTCATTGCTCTATTTTGAGGTTATGTTACAAATATATACTTGCATCAAATTGTTTATGCTTTTGAGATATATCATCTGTTATATCAGCCTGAAATTTCTTATAATTCATAAAGGAAACATAGCCACTCATAATAGGAGAGCGCTGACGCTGACACGGAACAGTAGATATTTAGTAATATCCCAACTTTTCTGAAGGAGAAAAAATATTATGAAAATCAAGGAGGCCATGAAGGCGTGCTACAATTGTAGGAATGAATGACGATACGGCCCTATAGTTTAGATCTTATAGCCAATCGTACCTACTAGGCCCCCTCCTACCTATATCTTGAACGGCTCAATATATAGCAATCTGGAATTAGGGACGATGAAAGTGTAGCCTAAATATTATATTTTAGCGTGAAGGTACCAGTTTGAATTTTCAAGGCTGCTGTGCGCCATCTTGGAGCATGTTTTACTTGCGACACCTTATTTTGAAGTTTCGTATCAATACTTTATAACCCTGTAATAGGCACTATCTTTCAAAAAGGCAAGCTGCCGAGCTGTTGAGTGGTGTTTCACATTGAATAGTTTATAACTTAACTACGCACCATCAAAGCTAACCCATAATTTATTGCACATCTAGATAGATCCTTCCACAAGAAGGAGATTGACATACACACTATAACGTGTTGATGATTATTTCTTAAATTATATAAATTATAAGCGACTCAATGTATAAAAACGCTTTACTTTGACAGCTCGCCATTTCGCCATTTTGAGAGACATAAGACTTTCAAAATATGGCTATAAACTACTAATAAGGAGCTTCGAATTGATCAGACGATCGGCCATTATACTCAAGAAAATGATCCAAGATGGCAGCCAATCGCCATCTTGAAATCTCTTACTTTATTTTTACGCTAAAATAGTATTTATGTCAAATTTCAGAATGACAGGAGGGTTATCAAAAGAAGGCGAATTTTCCGACCTGAGGTCGCCTTATTACCATGTATTTTGGAAAAGTGAACAATCAGCTATCGTATTACGATTGATGCAGAAAGTGTTTATATTGAAATAATAACAAACATGAATATATAGATGATAAACATAGTATAAGAAGGAAGCCTCCTATGCAAGGTAATACGAAGGCCTCAGAGCAAGAGGACTACCTACGTTGAGAAAGACATCTAATATCTCTCCTTCTAAGCATTAACAGGATCAAAGCATAAGGATGCCTTAAATGAAGGTTCTATGCATGCGGCTCTCCTATTTTTTTAGTTTTTGTTTCATATAAAGCGGAAAACTCATTACAAATAAGAGCTTCATTATACCAGTCACGGTACTTCGGCATTTAGACATCCACCTTCACGGTTGATTCAGTATAAAGGTGCAAAAGGAGACAACTGCCACCTAAGGAAAGTTTGCCAAAGCTTGATACATCTGCATTCCATTCGCCGAAGATGCAAAAAGCTCCTAAGCGTCTGGTTCACGCTGAATGACTGTGAGCGGATATTTGTCGACCATCATGAATAAAAGGACAACCCGTCAACCAGCCAGAATACGAAGTACTCTTAAGGCTACCAGCAGTGTTCTACTAGGCAACAAAATAGCAAAAGTAGACACAGGCTGAACTAAATCTGCTTGCTGTTCTCACCTCTTGGGCACAATATGCTGAGTTTTTATCAGATCATACCCACTTCTTTTCTTTCCACTTGTCTAGAACTATACCGTACTGATAATTGAGAAGCATGAAATAACGTTGTAAAAAGGTGTTGACGTTCCATATGGAGTCTTTAATTATGTATGAAACACCAAAAATCATTTTCACTAAACCCACATTTTTTTGGTTTTCTAGAGCGCTTAGTTATGGAATGCCTTACTCAAAGCTCCGATTTTTGGACATTAGTAACAACAAAATCGGTAGCGCAGGACTAGAAAATATTTTAGATACATTAAAAAAATATTGTCAGATGAGAATATTAGCTATATGGGGTAATACTGGCATTGGACAGTCTTCTGTATGCAAGGTAAGTTGTATGTTAAGATTTTATGGTCTTGAAGGGAGACTAAGCTCAAGAAGTCGTGTCATTTAACGGGAGTGGTAGTTTGAGAATATTTATAAAAATGGAATTTGTTTATTAATTTTTAGAGGATAGAACGACTGTTGCGCGCAGGAGTACTAAATCAAGAATACTTCGATGTGAAATTATATGAAGTGGATGGAATGTTGCACGCAGCTTATTATCCCGCTGAGCACTTCAAGCATAACTATTACAGTGTATTAGACTACGGATATCCACCAGAACTGAAGATAGTTCGAAATAAAGTACCTGATCCGATAGCCTTACCTAGGTGAGCAGTTTTTTTACCTCTAAGCTAAACAAAGTAGGTTGAAGATCGTCTTTCTGACCATAATCAACCGTATACAACGTTTCCGCATGCTTTTCAATAACCATCAGTACGGTAAAGATCTAGTCATTGGAGGCAGACAATGACAAGCAAACAAGCGATTATGAAAAACTATTGCAAAGTATTGTAGTACTAGCCATTTTTGAATGACAGTCCGCTTCGATGAAACGTACAAGCGTCGTCCACCTCATAGGCATCTCTTCACTCAGGGGAGCATTAAGTGCTCACTATGCTGCCAGCTTTCTTCTATTCCTAGTGGATTAAATCGTAAAATCAGTAGAAATAGCGTTCCTGGGCTATATTGGCAACATACTATCGACTCGCGATACGATACCAGAAATAATTTGTACCAGGCACAGCAAATGTAAATGACACTGATGGCACCAGTAGCAGTACCTCCACCAGTACTTTTGCCGCTCGGAACCAACGATGAGTACATATTTTGAAGATAATAAGAACATATATGTAATCAGCGACCCACAACGATCATAATCATTGATAGTAAACTAAGAACTACAGCAACAGGTCTCAAATAGCTGCCTGAACTTGCCAGAAGATGTGAATCAGGTGCGACAGAGGTAGGAATCAGTACAAATATTTATACTTTAATTATGCAGACCGACCTCTCAAAGTTGTAATATACAAGAGCAACAGTACGTTCCCACTAATCTTTGAACATGATACTGGGTGGTCAACCATAAATGGATTATGTGTTGCAGTGCAAAAACTGCTGGGTATTTGGTCACCCTCACCCGCATTGTGGCAACAAATCACAACCGGCAGGAATTGAAGTACATTAACATTATCCATTACAACGCATGGTTAAGAAATTGTCTTAATTGTGAAAAATCTGGACAACCACTAGAAATGCTGCCCTTGGAAATAGGCCAAGCGTGCATTAACATGAAGATTTTTATCGTCAAAGAATTATGAATGAATTAATAACTAAGCAACAGAAACAACCTACCTCTGCCTCACGGGTTAAAAACTTGAGAACATGTAAATGAGCAGCTATTAATCCATCTAAAGGACGCTGAAAATAATCGAATAAATTTTATCAAAAGATATTAACGATCATACATGCAACAAATAAGGCAAGACAAAACACTCACCAAGACACACGATTAGGAATTATCCACGTGAGAATTAATGGACTACCAGGTAGGCACAGCGAATTTTCTCAACTAGTCTAGTCTGTCAAAACGACCTAGATACACTAGCAGTAAATGAGACATATTGACCAACCACAATCACTATGGAAACTGGAGTGATACAATATATTCAACAATGTGAAAGTGCTGGGAATATAAATAATGTTCCTGTCACCGCGGTCCGTTAGTATTTCCCATGAAGTGTTATGTTTATTGAACGTGTAGGCTGGACGTCAGAAAAAGCTCTGTGTTACACTTCTCAAAGAAGTATACACTTAAGTTTTGTCTGTTTATTATACAATATTATACATACGTACTTTTTTCTCATACATTGTTGTTTAGATATAGTAACTAACAATTGTGAGTAAAAATAAAAGAACACATAAAGTATGTAATTTATTCACTTAATTAAAAACAAGTCTAGTAAATCCGACTGAAAAAAAACCCATTATCAATGTGTATATTTCCGCATATTCAAATATGAATATCGGGTAAGAGCTATGATATAATCTTTACCCGATATTTTATTACAATATATTTTATTGCCCAGGAATAAGGAAATTATTTAACTGTTTGGGTAGTATCTTCTCGCCTCAAACACCATCCATAATATTCTAAAGCTGCGTACAAACCGAGATTCCAACGAAAGCCGAGGCACATGTAGTTTCAGATCTGGAGGTGTTCGAATCGGTGCGTACGGCGCGGGCCAACATAAGCCAACGGTTTCAAAGGTAGGCGTTGGTGTTCGATTGCATTCGCTCCTTGATCGGTACATCAAAGGGAGGTTTGATTTGGTCTGGACAGGATTTGTTGCGCTTCGAGTGTTTAGTCGTTTGTCTGCATTAGATGAGAGGAAACTCGTCGCTCGACATTAGCACCGAACTTAACCCAGGGCGGTCCAACTCGAACATAGATTTAGGTGTAGACAAGCACATTCCAATACCTTACTTCCATTCGTTTGCTCGGCTTTTTATTTTTGGTGTGTACGCGGCTTGACACAGATGCGTCGCAACTATCTTCTTCAAACGTATTTACATCCTGGTGAACTGCTTCCTTTGTTCATCATTCGCAGTTCAGAGATTCGAAAAGGATATGGAAATGGGAATGGAGAACATTAATTTTCATTGACATCCGACAACCCTCTTCAAGTGTACCTAAAATATTATTTACCAAGGGCTCCGCGTTTTTGTCCCTGTGATTACCTAAAAACCTAAAAAACAGCGATTTTCACGGGCACTCTCATTTGGTTTTAGACGGACATTTTAGTTATTCAATAATATGCATATTTGTGGATCGATAAAAATTCCTTCCTTCAACTTTGCGTCACATTAAAGAATGCTTTCAATGAAAAAATCCTTCGCCATTTTTATTCAGTACCTTCACAAAATTCGTCATTTGGCCGAGTTTTATATGTAAGAAAAGCTAATGTCTTCCGGTTCAATGGAATTATAATTGGCTTCCTGTTCGTTGAGACGTATCTTTAGTTAAACATTGCTTACCAGTAGCTCTGTAGTCCTATATGCAAGTACAGTGTTATTCATGCATACGGCTACGTAGAAATCGATTGATGCAGACGGAGTCATGAGAAATACTGATGGTATGGACGACACTAAATAATCGTATGGCGCTCGTCTCACAACACACCGCAAAAGCTGACGCACAGCTGCAGGACATCTCACAGCAAGAGCCACTTCCCAGATGGAGTCTCATCTTTGCTAGTCGTACTCGAACCACAGAGGAAGTATTATACATACATCAAACATCAATTAACCTCGAATTAATAATACCGCCAAGTTGGATCAGACCACTTCATGCAAATGCTGGGCACCAGGACATGGCTATCAATCATAATACCCACAGTGCTACTGGACATTTCGGTTAAAATGAATATTCAAAAATTTTTCCCAAGACACTATAATTACAACCGACATTTCTGTAAGGTGACATTTAGCACTCATGTTTACAGGAGTCTTCCATGTTATTTTTTGCTTTAAGCCCTAAAAATATAGACACGTTTTTCTCAATCATCCTGTATGTGCCAAATGCATCACAACATGTAACTTTTAATTGAATTGGTTGATGACAAAAGAAACTTTGTGAGAGAAACGTACGTCTGACGCAGACCATAATATTGTCTTAGATTTAAATTCAAATTCCAATTATTTATCCAGAGAGACGTTACCTACATTGTATATTTATGATTCGAGTAAAAACCAATAAAACAACACAAAATAAATATATGTATAAAACAAACACACAAATAAATCATAAAATAACAAACTCAGAGACGGCATAATAATATTTTCTTACAAGAAATTCTGTCAGTTTAGCTTTAAATTATGTATATCTCCATTCTTTAATATGATTTGGTAGCCTGTTGAAAATTCGTGGACCCAGTATTTCCGGAGATCTGACACCGATCTTATTCTTCGCAGAATACAATGTAAGTCTCCAGCTTGCCTGGTCGAGTGCGAGTTAAAATTGTTTAAAAACCTATTATTGTGAATAAAAGTGTATACGGCCATTTCGTATAAAAATAATGATCTTAAAGTTAAAATTTTAAGACGCATGAAAATATCCTTTCAAGACTAACCTCTCTTTTCTGGGCCAAAAATACTTGCTGGACATTTTTGGATAAGCCCCAGAAGTATAGTGCATACCTCAGTCGTGTCTCAACTTGAGCTTGGTAAACAGAATCCATCTGTGCTTCAGTAAGGATCGTTCACAAATTTTTCATAAGATATGATTTTGAGTTTATCTTTGAAGCAATGTATACACAGTGGTCTTAAAAATTTTAACCTGTATCTACCAAGAATTTTACTTCCATGTCAAGGGACATTATTGAGCCATTGAAAGTGATATTTAATGCCATGGGTTTCTTTTCGAAGTTATGAAATTGGACAGCTGATGTTTTTTCAGAGTTTAGGTAGAGCTGATTGCTCCTAAGCCATGTGTGAATATTTTGCAGTAAAACTCCATAATCTGTCCCTAAGGTAGCCGCACACTTATTTGATATCACCACTGAAGTATTATCAGCATATAAAATGAATCTACTTTCACAAGTAGTAGTACTCAAGGTCATTTAAGTATAGAATGAATATTACAGGTGCTAGAATAGAGCCCTAAGGCACGTTTATTGCATTGAAAACCTTTTTATTGTGTCAAATCTCCTCCCAGGTGGAGTGAAAATCTCTTTGGATCCAGGATTTACCGAATGTCCCAAATATCATTCGATTACATCGCTTTCCTTGAGCCTAGGATCTGCTTTAATTGCTTTATATTTTCCCCTACAAGGATAGAAAATCTTTGTGACCATGCCCCTGTTGCCTTGGTATAATCATTTTCAATTTTTTAATTCGCTATATCTTCTTCAAGGGAACTACTAAACTTTACTCACATTGCTCGGTATCCCCCAGTCGATGATAAACTTTTCTTGAGGGTGAGAAAAGAAAAAATGTGCCAAGATGAAAGTGAAGAGGAAATAGGCAAAGTTGTGTTTGAAATAGAAGAAGAATCTTCAACAGATGATACGACGCATGTCAAACTCGATGAAGAGCTAACCGACTTCACCACTTATTGCAGCTACTGTACTGGACCCTGCAGCCAACCTAAACATGAACAAGTGAATAAGTAGCTGCATAAACTTGGTGTAACATGCAAAGAATAAACACTTGAAAATTGACAATAACAGTAACAGTAATTATTTCAATGATCTTAATACTTGGATCAATGTGTCAGTCTCCAGTACAGCACCATAGTTGATGAGCGATTTTTGATAGATGAGGTCAGACACCTTCGCTTCATATAGCTGACATTGCTGACGTGTTTGCAAAATGTTGAAACGTATCTCGCTGAAACCAGGTGGCGGATTCTACCTGAATTTCTACAGCTGGAATTAATTTCGATGACGCCTTGCCGCCACCCCTGATCGCAAATAATGTTGATCTTTACGTGAAATAATATATAATGTATAAAGGGCTAATACTGAAGTGCTTGTCAAGATGTTTGCTGCTAACTCCATCATGGGTGTTTCTCCCGAACGCGTTTGGCGTCTCTTCCAGATATCTTACTAATCCGGCACCTTCTCAGAAAACTGGAAATTTCCTTACCCCAACCCATCCCAAACAAGGTATCTGAAAGGGCCGTATCGTCAGTCGTTCCTACAATTATGGTAGGACTCGTTTATGGTATACCTTGATTGTCATAGTCTTTTCTCTCCTTCAGAAAGGCTGGGATATTTCTGGACTTCTACTGTTCGTGTATGCGTCAGCGGTCTCCTATTGAGAAGTTATGTTTTCTTTTTGAATTGTAGGAAAACAGATAATCTAAATCAAAAGCATGAACAAATTGATGTAAATAGATATAACCTCAAAATATAGCGCTGACCTCGAACAACTGTAGTAGGAGCGACTGACAATAGGGCCCTAAGACCGACCCTGGAGAGGTGCATAAATCGCGAGCTTCCGGAGTACTTGGAACGTCACGGCTTGATTAGCCACAGTCAGTATGGTTTTCGGCACCAGCGATCCACAGAGGACCTCCTAGCTTACGTCACATAACTTTGGAACTTATTCAGCCTTATGGTGAGGCTCATGTCGTCGCTCTTGATATCATGAAATCGTTCTGTCAGCTGTGGCGTGCTGCCTCTTATGCAAACTTCAATCCAATGGCCTCCCAGAGAAGATTTGTAGATGGGTGGCTGACTTTCTCTCTGACCGCAAGATATCAGTCGTAATTGATGGGTTCTCATTTTCATCCAACAACATCAACGTGGGTGTTCCCCAGGGACTGTTCCTTTTACAAAAAAACGACCTCCTTTCCTGTACGATCAATCCAATCCACAGCTTTGCGGACGACAGTATTCTACATTCATAAATTTAGAATGACAAGCCGATCTTTACTGGTGAGCTGAAAAAAGAAGACTAGCAGCGACAGGTTTAGTGCTTCCAAAACATTACTGTATCTTGATGAACAAAAAGCGCCCTAGCGCTCCCCAGGTTTTGATGGACGGCCGAATTCTGCCAAAGAGCTGTTCATTTCAGCTGGAAAGAGTCCAGATCACCAAGACTAGGCTATTTGTTTAGGGCTGAGAAGTACTTTTTTCCAAATGCGCTAGCATCGAATTTTGTTCACATGTTTAGGTGATGGCGCCCCGACTATATTATCCATGCTCGATGCTGTTCAGAGGAGGGCCATCCGATTGATCGATGAATCTTCTCTAACAGACAGTCTCGGGACACATTCTCACCTGCGGGCCATCGGTGATCTCACTCTCTTCTACCGCTACACCAATGGGCTTTGCTCCTCAGAGCTCTCCTCCACCATGCCGTCGTGCGATGTGCCTCGTACACAAACCCGTCCGACTTCGGCCTCCCATCCTAACCGTGTAAAGCTTCGTACATCCCGAACTGGCCGATGCGACCGCTCTTTTGTCCCAAGGGTGTCGAGATTGTGAGACAATCTACAGGAGGAAGATTTTCCCAGTTCTTCTAACCTCATAGCAGCCGCGGTGCCCTGGCATTTATTCTTCTGCCTGTGCGGCTGAGTCGGTTCACTCCTTATACTTGAAGAACCATCAAGGTGTCGAAAAGACGTAATTGAGCTTTTTGTACCAAATTTTATTCTCTACAAAAAAATTTAGTGTTTTGTATTATTAGTTTAACCGTAATAAGCGGATATATCATTACTTGTAACTTTACCCGTTAATTTCTCGTAATCTATCGACTATTATATATTAATTCCCTTCAAAATTGATTCAACCACTTTTTTACATAGGATCGACGGTTTTCGAGATTTTCGATCAAACACATATTTGGAAATGGCAGCAAATGTTCCAGTCCTATCATGATACCAATTTGAACTTATCATTAGGAAGCAATAATAATCAAACGATATCCCTTGTACAAAACCTCTATATTTCTTGGTGTAGCATGCATTTCCCTTTTTCAAATTATATGTGTTCGGTGTCATTTCCATCACAATGGCTACACAATATGTAGCTTGATTTAGACATGTATGTTTAGTCTGTACCCAGTCTGAGCCAAGAACTATTATTGGTTAAAAATACTGTGCTTTTTTATCATCTTCTAAAAAAATGAATTTCAAATTAACATTGAATATTTCTGTGAGATTTCGCTTAGCATGATTTCGGGATAGGAGGGAGGTGGTTAGAGGTAAGTGACAAGCAGTAAATTGAGCCGTCCAATCCACGTCAGGGCATATAATGCAATTACTGCCATCACAACCTGTTCCCGGTTTCACCTTATTAGAAATCAAATACCCAATGATATTAGCTAGCCGTCCAACTAGCCTGATTTATATGCAGCTGGTAGAAAGGCCAGCGGCGGCACACAGTGTTGACAATAGGCCATATCATAGGGACGCGCGTTAGATTCACTTTTAGGTCGGTGACGGGCGCCGTAAAAAATTGAATGATTTAATACCAAAAAACTTCACCGAAGAAATTAAAACACCTCATGATGTGAGTATTGAAGAAGTGTGGCATCTGCCCTAGCATTTTCCTAAGGTACTAAGGTACATGTCAAGTAGTGGTGTACCTCAAGGTTCCAATTTGGGTCCCCTATTGTTTGCATTATACATCAACGACCTTTGCAGCTCATTATCATGCAACCATGCAACAAGCTTATGTTTACAGATGACCTGAAGCTTTACACATCTGTTTCTAGCAGGCAAGATTGTAGAATCCTCCACTAACGAATATTTTTTTACAAATATGATGTATCGATAACAATTTCTATTTGAACATTTCTAAATGTCGCATTTCAACCTTCTCCCGAAAAGTCTTTTTAACTTACAATACAAAATAAATGATTCTGTATTGGAAAGGTGTGAAGCTTCTAAAGATTTGGGCATGTACTCGTATTTCGAATGCTCACCTTTAACGACCACAACACTGAAATTATAAGTAATGCGTATCGCACATATTTCAAGATCACAACGCTTATTAAGATATTTCCAGTGCTTGTTATAAGTAAATTTTAATACAGTGCAATTATTTGGGCCCCTACCTATGAGCTATACGAAAATATTACTGAAAAAGTGCAAGATAAATTTCTGAAGTATCTATGCTATAGGAGTGACAGTGTCTATCCTCCAAGAGGATACTTTTGGAGAAGCACAGAGAGCAGGCGTCGATCATATTTTCATTCAAATTACATGGTACCATCGACTGTTCTGTTTTGCTATCTCAAATTGATTTCCTGGTACCTAGACTGACATCCAAATATGGAGATTCCTTTTTCTGCAAGAGGGCTCAGACAAATCTTCTGTCTGAAGCAGCAATACTTTATCTATAATAATGCGAATGGAGTTTGGAGTTTTTCTTATATCTTCTGTTGTGGACTTTAGGGATTAAGAAATGCTATACGCTCACATCTTTTGACCTGATTTTTCTCACCCGTTTCTCTAGACGTTTTCGTTTATTATATATTTATGTGTAAATATTACATGATATGGCTATATATTCTTTGTTGCTATTATCTATTAATCATATTCAGGGTTTCTCTTCTCTCTACTTAAAGCGCCTTCATCTTTTCTGTGCTATTTCTTCACTTTATGGCACACAGACTGTATAAATTAGATCATAGTACTACGTAATGCTCTCTAAGTGGTATCTGTACTGTTGGACAATAAATGCTTTATTATTATAGTCAAAGGTGGCAGGTGTTACGTGACGGGAGATAGGCGACGGTAGACGTTGCTATGCTTTTCCCATGTGCATATTTTGTTTCCGCTGAACAAGTGTCTAAAGCCAGAATTCGGGGCCGATGGACAAATATGAAAGAAACTTCGACACCAAGACCATAGATTTTGGTTATACAGGAAGAATAGATCTAGCTGATTTCTCCAAAGATTAATAAACGCATTTTATTATTTTTATTTAAGGTGGATGTGTATGCTTAATAACAATGCACATTCACCAAAATATATAATAATTCTTATGTGGAAGCTGGAATATTTTGATCATCGGCAATCAATTCTAACTTCAGATTGGTGTTCAGGAAACAATGCATACAGGATGCCCTGAAAAGTGATGTCAAGCTGGAAACGGGGGATAGGCCAAGTCATAATAGTTATAAGAAAAATATCAAAAAATCCAAGTCGTGAACTTTTAAAATCTTAGGCTTTAAAAAAATCGTAAAGTTCCACACCCTTTCATGATCATTTAGTTCCCATTCCTACAAATTTTAACTTTTAGTAGACGGAGTGACAGACAGTCTCATTCACTTTTATTAATTCATGATTGTGTAGTGTCACCATATCTGCGTACACCGTACAGGAATACGCCAACATGCACCTCATTTATGGGGAATGTAGATGCAATGCTAGTGCTGCAGCTATGTTTGATTGTGGGGTGATTCCAAATGCGGCTAGTCATCCCGATCAGCGAGTTGTTTTTCTGAATGTGCACCGTTTACTCTCAGAATGACGATTAGCAAACCAAATCAAGCAAATAGTGAAGGAAGAATTTCCTTTCCTTACGAGGACGTCGTACTATAAGCAGTCGAAGAAGACCCAGGTATTTCAGTCTGCCTGATAAGACCAAGCACGGTAGTGTCCAAAAGTACATCCCACCGAATCTTACGAAAGAACGAGCTCCATTAGCTCCACGTACATCTAGTACAATCTCTACAAATTTCATGGACTAATAAGTCGACATTTAAAGAGAAGGTTAC